CAGTGCCTTGCTTCACTATTGCTGCCTCACTGGGTCTGCCAGCTGCTGCAGTCTTGCACTCCCCGGACTCCTTAACGCTCCCGGTCCCAACGTTCTCTGCTCTCCGCACTGCAACCCGCGCCCAGCTGCCCACACTGCCAGACTCCGCCCCTCCTACAGGTCTGGATGAATGTGTCTATTTTAACTTCTTGGTTGTCCGACTTCCATACAGTTCAATTTTCTGTCTGTTCTGGTTGCTATTCTGTTTCTAAATTGTTGTTGTCCCTATCTTGGTTGTGGAAGGAGGCACAGTGTGTCTACCTATGCCTCCATCTTGGCCGAAAGTGCACGTGCAGTTCTTCTAAAACACGTAAACCAATAACTGGGGAGAAGGTGGGGTCACCCCACCCCCATTCTCCAGAGGTCGTTGACCTAAAGTTAGCATTCTGTGAAGTGCCTGTGAGTCATAATTGCGACTGTAGGAAGCCAGGGAAAGAGAATACGAGGGGAGAGGCATGTTAGTTTACCCGGGTGTGAGAAATGGTGCCGCACTTTTTATTTAAAAGACAGTCTGGCTGAGATTCATTCATTCATTGCCATACTGTGTGTGTCACCAGGGGTACAGTTCTGCTCTCTGAGCTCTGCATGTGCGGAGGCCAGGCGGGCACCTCACCTGGATCACTCCATGCATGGAAGGCTTGTCTGTGCCACCCCAACTGACTGTAATTGATTCAGTGGCTACTTGAGTGCCTTCTACCTCCAGCACCAGCCAGGTGCCTTGATCCAGTAAACCTCAAGAAATGTTGGCTTAATGTATCGATGTAAAATGCTGTAACCGGCCCTGGGGTGAGGGGAGGTATAGCAATGAACAAGGTGGAGTCCTGTTCCCTTGAGGCTCACAATCCCGGGATAGACAAGGAGACAACTAACTGTAAGTGGAGCCGACTGCAGCGTGGGTAGCTATGAAGGAGGGAGGAAGTTCTATGGAAGCACGAAGGACAGAGAAGAGGAGTGAGGGAAGTGAGCAGGCACGTGAGGCCCCACAGGAAGGGAGTGTCAGGCAATAGGACAAATGGGAGCAGAGATGGGAAGGCACCCATTGTGTTTTAGGAGCTTGAAGCAACGCCTGGTGGCAGGAGTGGAGGGTAGTCAGAAGGAGCAGAGCAGTGGGTAGAAGATGGGGCTGCAGCCTAGGGTCATTCTGGAAGGACTTTGGACCCACCCAAGGGTTTTGAGCAGGGAGCAAGGCATCAGACTGGTGTTTCAGGAAGAGGAGTTCAAGAGAAGGGTCAGAGCCAGGGAAGTGCTATGGAGGCTGTTGCAGCAGTGCTTTGGATAAATGACAGGGCTTGATGGAAGCCAGTGGACGTGAAATGAAGGTTACTCGAGAATGATTTGTACTCGAAAGCCTGTCTGTGAATTTATAATGTCCATGAGTCTACCCAACCACCAGGATGATTAGGTCAGCTGGCCAGAACACAGCTTTTCAAACTGAAGTACATTAATAACCGAAGGTGTACTGAGTGCAAATGGAATGACGGAGGGAGTTGGATGGTCTGAGAACCTTTTACTCAATCATTAGCAGTTTTGCATAGTAGTAATAATAAAGCTTAGTCTCTGGCAAGTTGTTATTCCTCTCTGGAGAGATACTTGGCCTGACACAGCAGGAGGAACTGCTCCCCTGGCCAGTGCTGGAAGGAGCTGGCTGGCGGCACATTGGTGTATTTGAGGATCTTTTGGTTGCAAGAAACGGAACTCACTCAGAAATGAGCAAGTAAAATGGGGAATAAATTGTAAGGAAGAGGAATCTTCCAACCCAAACACTAGAAAGGCTGCTAGGCCTCATGGGGCTTACAGTACCATCAGGACCTGCCAGAGGGGCACCCGTGCCCCTGAGGATGAATACCGTTTGGGCAGGGAGGGTCACGTGGCTGGGCAGATAACACCCAGGGCTGAGGGGCATTCCCAGGTTGGGTATGGGGTGTTCATCTAAATACCTCTTGATTGAGCATGCTCAGTCAAGGGTCCAACTGCAGGCGCCAGCTAGGGGTGCACCTCCAGCACCCAATGGAAGGAGAGGGAGGACGGGAGCCATTATGGAAAAGCGCCGGGTGCCTAGTTATCCTCAAGCGTCAGGGCTGGGGCGACCAGGGGCCAACCTTCTGGGGCAAGCCCCGATCCTGAACCTCCTGCCACCACCCCGAACCCCTACTGGTTTAACGATCATAGCACTGGTAGAGGCTGCAAGTGGGGTCCCACTCTAGAGAGGCAAGGGGCCCATTTTCTGGCCAGCATCTGCCTCTAGCTCATAAGGTACCTCCAAAGGTGACTTCCTGGGTGCCTTTTGCTCGCTGGGCCACAGTGTACCTCGCTGTAAGGTGATGGGTGGAATTAAGGACTCTCCAGCCTCTTCTGTATGAATGTTTGCGGAGGAAGACAGCTCCACCCTTCTCATCCGTGGGTCCGTGTGCTTGGGCCTCTGTAGACAGGACACCCCAGAATGTTCAGAATTCACAGTCAGGAGCCCCCAAACTCCAGAAACACCCTGCCGGCAGTCCCCAGTAGGAGGACTTGGGCCTTTTCCAGAGCTTGTGAAAATGTGTAGAACCCGAAAAATTCACAAAAGGAAATTCACAAAAGGAAACTTGCAGAATAAAAATGAATGAATTTTTACTTAAGTGCTTCTATACATAATATGTTAACTTTATGAAATGTTAGATTTGGTCTTTGTAAGAAATGTCATTAATTTTTTCACTTTGTGTGGGACAACTATAGGGGAGTCAGCCAGTGGTGAAGTAGATGAGTTTCGGAGGGCCAGAGAATTTAAAAAGCAAAGTTACTTTTTCAGGGAAAAAAGCATAGGCTTGATCTGAGACACAGGTGCATTTTACTGTTTAATTTGCCTCCTAAGAGGGCCTAAGCACGCGCATCCCTCCAGCAGCCTGAACTGCTCCAGACCTTGTCCCTGTTGCTCCCTGAGCAGGAGGCAGGTCCCTCGCAGGGGCTGGATTACGGAACCCCAAAACTTTCCTGGACTTCGAAAGTCCCTAGACCCAGGGTTCCATCCTCACACCTCTCCTCTGCATCCTGCTCCCCTTCCTCTGATAAATGTGATTCCATTGTCCAGCCTCCCTCCATAACCCCCATGTATGCCATGGCAGCCATCTCAGAAAAAATGATCAGGTTCTTTGTTTTCCCCTCTTCCCTTCCTCTACACATAGTGAGAGTCTCCTCTTCTCCCTGATACACTGGCCTTTCTGTTCCTCTCTACTTTCAGGGTCCCGTCATAAGTGGCCCAGAATTATGGCCTTGACCCCAAGTCTTTCCAGCCTTCTAGCCTGCTCCCCACAGCTGACCCAGTTTCCCAAGTACTAATAACCAAAGGAGAGAATCTGATTGGTCTAGGTTGGGTCAGGGGCTTTTTTCTTTAACCTGGTCAGGCTGAAGGTGAGTGTGACAGACTCTTTGAAAAAGCAAAACAATAGTAAACAATGGATAACTTGAATATATTGTTATCATTCGACTCTTCTAGACTTCAGGGGTAAACTAGTGGGTTGGTTGTCTATTGCTGCAGAACTTCACTCTAGCAGAGTCCCCCTGAACTTGGCAGACTACCACAGCAAGCATCCATTATATCACAGTTTGGTGGGTCCGGAGCCCAGGGGCAGCTGAGCTGGGTGTTTCTGGATGAGGGTCTGTCTTGAGGTTGTAGTCAAGCTGTCCCCTGGGTTTGCAGTCATCCGAAGGGTGGTCTCGGGGGTGACCTGGGTCCTGGACAGGCAGAAAGCCTTGGTTCCTCACTGACTATGGGCTGGAGACCTGTTCTTCAGCATGTGGGTCTCTCTACAGACGGAGCGTCCTTATGGTGTGGCAGCTGCCACCCCTGCCCCCAGAGCGAGTGTCAAAGAGGAAGCACCTAAGAGAGAAGCTGAAGTTTTTTATACACTAACCTCAGAAGTGACAGTCACTTCTGCCCGATTGCATTGGTCACACAGACCAACCCTGGCCCAGTGTGGAAGGGGTTTACAACAGTGACAGTACCTAGAGGTGATGCTCATTGGGAGTCACCTTGAAGATTAGTTACTACACTCAGTCAACAAACATTTATTCAGTGCCTACTGTGTGTCTTGTGCCAGGAACCTCGAGTTGTGTGACAGAGGTCTCTGCTGTTGAGCCCCCCACATGGCACAGTGTGGGGAGGCCTTACAAAACACTCCACCCTTTTGTCCCCAGAGCCTGCACTTCTGGCCACCCGTGTTTCACACCGCCACGACACTTATCCTCTTGGAATTCAAATCTGTTCATTGTGATCTCTTATTTAACTGTCCTCAATTGTCCCTTTGCCAGGATTTAAAAAAAAAATTTTAATCACCCCACAGTAAGAAATACATTTTATATCACAAACCAGTACATACATACACAGACGCACTTATAACAGAAACAAATTTCACAAATTTACAGTCACTACTTGCCATGCAGTCGGATAGTTTCTATTCTAAGCTACTTCACTTTTCTGTGAAAGCTGGTCCCAGTCTCACGAATTTCACAACCTATTGCACTGTGACTGGCAGTGTGGAGAGCAGCCTGGAGAGCCATCCACACACCCGCGGTGAGCTACAAGCCCATCTACCTGGCTGCAGCCCACCTCATTTATACTCAGTGACCCCCATAGCCCCTCCCCGCCTGTGAGGCTCCTCTACCTGGAGCTCTCCCCCTCTTTCCCCACATTTGGAGAACTCTTACTCATCCTTTAAAACCCAGCTGTTGAATGTTTCCTGTCTCCCTCTCCTTGGCCAGAAAGGCCCCCTTCCTCCTGTGGCCCCCAGAGCGCTGCGGTGACACTTGACGACTGGCAGGCTTCCATTCCATTTCCAGCCGGCTCCTAGGGCCAGCACCCACCAAGCCTACCATATATTTTCATCGAACCACTCCGAGTACGTTTCCGAGCACATTGAGCAAATTAGCATCGCACAAATGACGGTGCTGCGAATGAGCAGTGTGCAGAGTTAGGGGGTGTTGCAGGCAGGTTTCCTGTCAAGGGAGCCACGTGCTGCCGAAAACCGCTCCCTCCCCTGCGGGCCGCTGTCTCGCCCGCCCGCGCATCCATCACAGGTACAATTCGCACCGGAACTTGCCGCCCGGGTTCCTTACCGCGGTTCATGTTAGCTGCTCTGGTTTCTTTTTGGGTTTTCTACTTTTTTCATTTGTTTGTGTTGATGGGGACAACCTAGCGAGAAATGGAGCTTTAGGCAGTGCAGAGAGAAAGGCCTCTGTATCTGCACCCGCCCTGCTGGAGGGGGTTTCCTTTCTGAAGTGGTACGGAAGGAGGGTTTTGAGGTTTTTGAATGTTTGCTTCTAAGTATCTTACTTAAGTTAGAGATTTGCTTGCCCACATTTGCAGTCTTGGCAAGCTAGCAATCAGACAAAATATTTTCTGGTTGGTTTTGCCTGTATGTGGTTTTTATTTTTGAGGGGAAAAAGAATCGTTGGTTAAATTGTACTGAAATGCAATGGCTGTTTTTAAAATTTGCTGTTAACTTAAGAGTTGAAGCTAGCGTGGTTCCCAGGCCCAGCAGCCTCTTGGGAGTCGCCGATAGATTATGCTGTGAACCATAACGGGAAAAGAAAAAAAAATAGACACGTGCAAAAGCTCTTAAATTATTCCTTCACCAATATTTTCATTTCTGCATTTGTCATGGCTGCGCAAGTGCCCTAGGACATGCTGACTTGGTTGTGATGTGTGCGTTTTTGGGAGGGAGGTGAAGACAGACTGTAAACAGATAATTACTGCAAGTGTGATAAATAGTAGAATAGAGGTATGTATCACATGCACAGAGAGGGAGCCATTTATTCACTTCAAGCAGTATTTCCTAAATGAGGGTCGCCTCCATTAGTGGATCATAAAATCCATTTACAAGGTAACTAACAGCATTTTTAAAGTGAGATAGAATAGAATGAAATACATCAAGTTGCATTCTCCATAGTATGTTTATTTTCTCAAGTTTTACTTACTTATTTTTAGAGAGAGAGGAAGGGAGGGAGGAAGAGAGAGTGAGAAACATCCATGTGAGAGAGAAACATCACACCCATCTATCAAATGGCATCCTAGGCAGGTATTCTGCCTCGGAATTGAACCAGTGACCTTTTGCCTTTTAGGACATCGCCCAACCCATTAAGCCACACTGGGAAGTTTAGTTAGTGTTTTCCTAAGCCATTGTTTCAGTTATATATTTATTGCATTGCAATGTGAAATATATTTCTTGGTAGTGAGTGTTAGGCAAAGATGTTTGAAAGCCACTGCTGCAGGGGATGAAAGAAAGACTCCCAGAGGAGGTGGCATTTGAGCTGGGCCTTGGAGAATGGTGGACTTGCCCCAGAGGAAGAAGGGCATTCAGGCAGAGGGCAAAGGATATGCCCAAATGTGGACCATTTTGTTCAGGGTCAGAGTATTCTCTGGATTGGATCACAGGGTACTCAGGGAGGAGAGGCTAGAAATGTCCCTGGGGAGGCTAATTAATGAACCTTAAAAGTAGTATGCCTCAGCTCTCCTCAGAAATTCCATTTCTCACCCTGCCTGGTGTGGCTCAGTGGATTGAGTGCCTGCCTGCAAACCAAAGGATCGCCAGTTCAAATCCTAGTCAGAACACATGCCTGGGTTGCAAGCCAGGTTCCCAGTAGGGGGCGTGTGAGAAGTAACCACACATTGATGTTTCTCTCCCTCTCTTTCTCCTTCCCTCCCCCTCTCTCCAAAGATAAATGAATAAAATCTTTTTAAAAATTCCATTTCTCTGGTGATGGGTTTGGTCTTGGGAATTTGTATTCCAAAACACTGCTTTGGGCAGTGAGGTGCTGACAGAGGTGTGACACAACCAGCAACATGTTTTAAAAGAGGTGACTTAGATGGAAAACTGGTTGACTGGAACTAAAATTGGGAGACCGGCAAGAGATAAGGACCTGAATCTGGGCGAAGGTAGTTGGTGGAAAAGAGGGACTCGGATTTGAGGGAGGTTTTGGAGGTGGGTTGCATGGTTTAAGGCAGATAAGAGAATGAGAAGAAAGCATAGACAATCCTAAAATAGCTGGGGGTGGGGGTTGGTCCATGAACACAGAGACTAGGGAGAACATCACATTACGGAAGGGAAATGATTATTTGACTTTTGGTTTGTGCTTAGGGTGGGGCAGGAACGATTCATCTGTGCCCCCCAAGCCCCGTGTGAACTGTACCTCAAGAGTGTACATTTCCTTTGCTCCGATTGCCCCTCTCTGAACAACCTCCTCCCAACTGGCTGAGACCTGGCTCAGGTTAATCTAACTCACAAGTGACTGATAAATACACACCCAACTGCTAGTTGATCAGTGTGATTTACAAGGAGGCCGATGTTATAAACCTTTTTGGGAACAAGAGTACTTGCACCTGTGCTCAGGGTGTTGTCACCTTTTGCAGTATCAGAGTACCTGGAAAATGGAACTAGTAACTAAAGATTTAGGAAAAAGAGAAATGTGTGGTCTGAGGAGTATTTCATGTGGATTCTTAAAATATTTGATTAACTTTCCTATACTCAAATAAGAATGAGGCTCTTTAGTGACTTTGGTGATCAAAATGCTTATGGAGGTTATACTTCCTTTTTTTTTCCCCTTCAGTGTTAAGGCTATATCTTGGCACCTGCTTAGAACCTACTTATTTCTTTGCTTCAACTTGAATTTACAAGTCATCTCTGTGGGGTGGTTCCTTTTTCAGATGTCTTACCTCTTGGTCATTTTATTTTCAAAAAGGACACTGACATTTATTGAGCAAGCCCCTTTACATGGCTGCTCTATCTCAGGGCTGGCTTTCTCACCAAATTCTCGGGGTGCTTTACAGGAGCACCCTGCAGCCTGCGGGACTTCTCTCCTGCTGCCTCTACAACCCACCACGCCCCAGCGCATGGAGTGGAAGGAAGGCTCTGTTTTGGGGCCTGGGAGCTGGTGAGTGACGCCTCCCAGCTATGCCTTCCAGCAGCATGTGGTGCCCTCCTAACCTGATGACTGTCCTCCCCCTCACATACTCTGTGGGGGAACAGGCTAGATGTGGAAGACAGCAAGGCTGGTGGGAGTGCTGAATGCCTCTTTTTAAAAAACAGTTCTGCTTATACTCCTTATCCTTGTACTAGAAGCTTGTTAGGAGTTAGGTTTTTTATTTTAAAGTCTGTCAGGGAAAATAACCAGCTTGAAATATGTCATTATTAGCTAGCCTTAGTATCTGCAAAGATGATTTAAAGTGTTTATTTATGTATCAACTAAAATAATAATGTAGTTAAAATATTGAAAACATTTGTGATCTCTTCAACTCAATTGCTTGTTTAGTACTGCTTTGAAAACATCCCATGTTACTTCTAATAATAGTATTAATCACAACAGTAGTGGCAACTGTTATTGAGTATTTTTACTCTATAGCAGATACTAAAGCCAGGGTTTTTATACCTAATGTCATTTAACTGTCTCCCTATCAACTGGAGATATAGGTATTGTTAATTTTATTTGACAGATGAGGAAACTGAGCCAAGCAAAGTAAAAAAAGGAGGCCAAGATCACAGGGCTAGAAAGTGGCGATGATAAAGCTGTAACTGATGGAGGGTGGGAGAGAACTCTGAACCATAAGGCTGTACTGCCTGTGATCAATTGCATACTGGCTTAATGTAGTTCAAGGAGACCTACTTACTCCCCTAATATGGGAAAATGATACAATAACTAATAAGTAATACATGAATAAATCCTGTTTCATGTACTCACAACTGTAAGCCTACTTTTGCCTACCCTGGTGTAGAGGTAGAGACATACTCATTTCTTGTATTCTTATACATCTCGTGGATGGGACTGTTTCTCTTTTATCACACATGTATTGGTTGTAAGCTAACTATGTACAAAGTACTCTGCTAGGCCCTTAGAGAACAGAAAAGCCTTTGAGGAGCCTCCTATCCAGGAAGGACATAAGAGAGATACAGGAGGTTGAATCGTATGAGATCGCCACCAGAATTTACATGGGAAGATGTCACGTGGTTCAACCTGACACACAAGTAAAATAAGGCGCCATGATAACACTTTACATGCTCTAGTTCCTGAATCCTTAAAATAACTTTCAAACACAGGTGCTATAATTATCCCTACTTTATAGACAAGGAAGTTGAAGCACTGAAGGGTGAAGTGACCTGCCCATAGCCACACATCTGGTGTGTGACAAAGGTGGAATTTGAACCCAGGCCAATCTGAGTGCAGAGCAAGTGCACTAAAGTCCAGTATGTAACTAAGTTCCTCTAGGGGTGCAAATAAAGGCAGGTGCCTTTTTTATGCACATTGAGAATTCTTACATTTTTATTTCTCAAACACTACATAGAGCATTTACTAACTCACCTGGTATATTTGGGGATTTCTGTGATCTGTACACATCTGGTCTAGCATTTGCATTCACTCCCTTTGAGAGTGGCCAACCGAAAAGGGAAACATTTGGTGGGAGAATGCAAAAAAACAAAAGCATTTTCACTGTTAATTGTTATGTGGACCCTGGGCCTGCTTATTTGGAGGCCTAGGCTCAGGCTAGAATATTTCAACTATAATTACATCCTCTTTTTTTTTTTTCTTTCTTGTGTCCAGTTGTCTTCCTTTCTAGGTCACCTACACAGATAGGAACCAAACAGCGACCATTTAATTGTACATAATTAAATTGTAGGTAATACAATTAAAGTTATTTGCATATAGTTAAGCTATTTTAAGAACTTTCCTCTTAAAAAGTTTTCTAATCTTAATATTTAGATACCAAAATCTTGTCTATATAAATCATAATTTAAATTTTACATACACAGGCATATTCCTTATTTAAAACATTAAGTTTTTAATCACATGGGAAAATTAAGAAGTTGGTTTTTGTTTTGTTATATTAAGTGATTTCAATTTTGGGGGTGCCTGGTGAATCTGAAATTCTTCCCACTGCTTCTCCTATATTTTACAACCCCCCAAAGTGTAAAACTAGATTTGACAACTGGCATTCTCAAACTAGGTCTTCATGAAGTAGAGGGTTGCCCCCTCTGCCTATGCCACAGCACTGAACCCTGTTTATATTAAAACAGCTACAACTGCTTGTTTCCAAGATCCTTTTCAGAGCTTGAAGAGAGAGGGTGAGTTTTAGAATCAACCTGGCCTGGGTTTCCCCCATCAGCTTTTACTAGACTGGTGACCCCAGACAAGTTACTAAAGCTATTAGGAGATTTCTGCAAAATCAGGATAACTAAGCCTGTTCTAAAGGATTTCATGAAGGTTCAGCCAATAATATATATAAGTATATAGGAGGCACTTAGTAGGCCCTCAATAACTGTCAGTGCTCTTACATTTGGAAATTCTTTTAAAAGCCTGCAGAATCCAGTCTTTATGTATGAATTCATGCTATTGGTTTTTTTGGTTTGTTTGTTGTTTTTTTGTTGGTTTTTTTTGTGATCTTTCAAAGTCAGATTTGTGTTTCTTTGGGGTTTTGGCCAACTTGGGAGAATAGCTTTCTGAAGCCCATTAATATTTCATTGGAGCTGTGGAGCAGCAGCTGTAAAACTTGCTTGGTGGGTCCTAATTGCAGTGAGTAATCTACAGACTCTTTTGAAATGTAATTCTTCAAAATGGGTACTATAATTATATTCCAACCAATCCAAAGGCACTTTAAAACATGTTTAAAATTTTCCCAAGCCAATTAGATAACTGGTTGGTCCAACTGTCAAGTGTAGAGAAATATGCTAATTTATGCAGACTACTATTCCAGGAAGGCCTTGGCTAGCTGTGAAACACATGTGATAAAACACCTCGATGATACCGTGATGCAAAATCACTGAATGTATTTTTAAGGAATGTCTAAATACAATGCATACATTGTGAAGGGCAGAGGAGCAGTTACTAGAACAAGATATGGTTTGTTTGTTTTTTTAAAGATCTATCTTGAATATGACATTGTATGCCAAACGACATTTATTTTGTGCAAGATAGTATAGTTACAGTATCCTTATATAAGCAGGCAAGGTGCGCTATCATTACCTTTTTTGATGCTAAGGGGATATAAAAACTAAACAATAATTTCATGTAAATAATTTAAATCTAGGAGTAATTTTCTTAGAAGTCACTCAATATCTGAGGAACATGGTTGTGAGCATTCTGTTCATTGCAGAACCCCATTGCTATAGGCATTATAAACTAATTTAAAATAATTTGGAACATTTCAGGGGCTTGCATATGCATATTTTAAATCTGAATCACACGCTTATACAGTTCATCCTTTATTTATACTTGATGTTTATTTGAACTAAAAGACAATAACAACCCTCTCTTCTATATTTTTGTGGGCATTTACAGGAAAAATAAATGTAGTTAATCTTGACCACAAAGGCATCCTCTCCCAATCCACAGTCATAGTTAACATTTACTTAAACACTCTCAGTGAGCTAGATGGTTTATGGAGACTCTCAACAACGAGATTTGAGATTTAAAATGGGTGATAATTACACTTAAAAGGTTGGGTAGCTCCCTTTTGAAGATGGGGGATTGTGTAGTGGAAGTTCCACAAATGTGGTGATGAAGGATATCTACACGGAAAGAGAAGACAATAGGAATTGAATGTTTTGAGAGTGACTTATTTCCTCACCTTTATCTTGGCCGCTAAATTTGTTTTGTCTTGTCTGTTTAGTGTTGACATACAGGTTTCACAGATAAGGTTTTTAAAGCATTTTTGGAATGGAAAGGGGGTGATGAAAGGAAAGCTCTACAGTTAAAAGTTAGAAAAAATCAGTTATTTGCCAAATAACTAAGTTAAAAGTGACCTTTTAGGGTTTTTTTTAAGCACGTTTAAAAAAGTATTTACTGAGGCTTGTTCTAATTAGAGTTCTAAACAAATATTGTTTTTTTAATACCCCCCTACTTCGAGCTAGAACTGGACTCTGTGTGTGTGTGTGTGTGTGTGTGTGTGTGTGTGTGTGTGTGTGTAGGGCGCCTGTGGAGAATAGCATGTATCTTGTAGATTTTCATTTTTTTTAAAGAGTCAAATAAACCTGTTTCTTGAGTAAAGCAGTACATTTCTGAAGTTAACAAAAAAATCCCAAAGAAAACAGGAATTAACATCTTTGGACCTTGACTTTTAAAAATCTTTTAATTAAAAAAATTCTAATCTTAACATTTTTTGCTAGGCGAGAACCGGAGTTTGGAGGTAGACGAGCAGGCGAGCGGTTTGCCCGGGCGCAGAGCATGAAGGCCGGGCGGGCGCGGGGAGCGGGCGCCCGCCGCCCGGCGCGGGGGTGAGTGAGAGAGAGAGAGCGGAGCGCGTGTGGCCGGCGCCGCTCGGCCGGGAGCTCCCGCGCCCGCGCCCCGCGCCCCGCGCCCGCCGCCGCCGCCCCTGGTGCGATGGCGCAGAAACCCCGTTGACAAGGCACTGCTTTTTCATGACGGTGAGTTTCCCTTTGAGTGTATTATAATTTTGTGATAAAAATTTCAAGGAGAAAAAAAACACACAACCTCCTTCCTCTGCCTCTTTCCTTCGGGGAGGGGACAAGCGAGGGAGGGGGGACTGGAGGAGATCTATCTCCAGACAGACAGAAAAGAAAGAGGAGCAAATTAAACACCGAGTTGCCAAAACCAGGATATTAGGTTTCAGCCCAGAGAGCTATTGGCTAAGGCTGTGTTTTTTTTTTTGGGGGGGGGTGGGTTTGTGGGTGGGTGATGGTGGTGGTGGGTGGATGTTTAATGGACACGGAGAAAAGGGGAATCGAGTGTTTATGCCTTTCCCAGCGCCGCCCGGGCCCGGGAAGACCAAGTTCAGAGTCTCGGGCGGGGGCGCGGGCGGGCAGGGGATGGCGGGGCCGGGCTGGGGGCGCCGGGCGGCGTGGGGGGCCCCAGCGCCTTCTTTTTTTTTTTTTCTTTTCCGCGGATGCAAATTTCTGGAGCGGGGAGAGGGAGAGCCTGGGAAGGGGGGTGGCGTGGCGGTTGGTGGTGGGGAAGGGAGGGGAGGGAAGCCTTTTAATGACTCATTGATTGAGCCGGTTTAAAATTAGTTGTGTGCGCGAGTGTGAGTGTGTTTTCCGCCCCCCGGAGCCGCCAGGAGCAGGGAAGGAGGGAGTAGGGCTCGGCAAGGGGAGGACAGCGCAGTGGGGCCACGAGCGGGGGGGCAGGGAGGGCCAAGAGTGACGGCGGACGAAGAAGAAAAATCAGCTTTTCCAATCTCCTCCCCTCTGTTTTACCCCCCACCCCCTCGTTCCTTTTCTCCCTCGGAAGCTCTTGGGTGTGAATCGCATTTTCTTTCTTCTCGGCAAAATGGACCCCGTGTCTCCGGAGGGGGAGGGGAAAGGGTGGGGAGGGAGGCGGCGGCGGGTCCAGGTTTATTTTTCATCCTGGTTTTCTCCTCGCCGCTTTTATGGGTGGCCGCGGCGAGGAGAGCGAAGGCCGGGCCGCAGCAGGGAGAGCTCGGGGTCGGCCGCCCACCCCGGCCAGCTCCCCGGCCCGCTCCTTGGCGCGCGCCTGCCAGCGGGACTGTCCCTTTCCCGCCGCCTGACCCCGGAGCACCGCCGAGGACCCGCAGCCCGGCCCAGATGAGCCCTCGCGACACGCAGAGGACCCGCGGCCCAGCCAGGCGCCTCCTGCGGGACCCCGCGGCCGGGCCGAAGAGGAGAGAGACTCTGGTGGCACTGTTTTGGCCGAGAGTGCGGGGCCCGTTGTGGTTCGCGCCCTGCAGTCGCTCCGCATGCGAGATTTTGCGGAGGGCGGGTAGTGGCGGCGGTTAGAAGGGGCTAAGATGGCGCTGGGCCTGGCCGCTCGCCAGGGCTGGTGGCGCAGTTGCTTCGCGGGCGCCATCTTCCCCAGCGGCGCAGGCAGCGCCCTTCCTGGGCGCTTTGCCTGCCCGGGCTCCGTGAGGTGCGGGGCGAGGGGGAGCCACGCTCCGGGTGCTGAAGGCGGCCAGTGGGGTCAGGGGCGCACTGCTGAGCTGGGGGCCTGTGTAGCGCTGTCCTCACCCGGGCCCAAAAGACCGGGCCACAGGCTGGGAGGGGGAGGGGGGAGGGCTGGGGCTGCGGCATCCTGCTCCTTGCCACTTGCGTTTGAAGAAGGGTGGGCTGCGCGTCCCGGCTGCCGGCGGACGGGTTCCCTCCCTGAGCCCGCACCCCCTCGCACCCGCTCGGCCAACACTGGAGTGAGGGGTTCCCGTCACCCCTCCTGCTGCCTGAAACTAGGCGGCTCTGTCTCCCCTGTCCTTGCTGCGGGCAGGGCATTAAGGCTTTTCCTTCATCCCTTTCCATTAATTTTGAGAGTAGAGTAAAACCATGTTACAAAATTGCATGAGTCCGGGACAATGGCTGTCTGCCTTCCAGTAACGTGGTCCTTTGTAGCTAATCTATGTTACTTTTATTTTTTTTAGTTGGTTGTATTTTAAAGTAACCCTGGAGAGACATTTATCTAGTTTCAAATTGTGGGAAGGTAATGGGTTTTAGTGATTTGAAACTTCTTGTTGGCCTTCATATTATTCCCAACTGTAGTAAATTAAAAGTGTTTTGGAATTCTGATCTGGGAAATTAAATTTGCTTTGACTCACTGAGACTTGAACCCCTTTCTTTTTCTTAAAACAAACAAAATAGAAACACTGCCCTGTGTTTGGGGTAGTCCCTCATGGACATAAGGCTTCTCAGTTCCCTGACTCACTAGTGTTTCCTTGAAAGCACCCCATGTAAGTATCCGTCCTGTAGTAGCTGCGTATTAAGAGAGGCGTAGGTTTTAACTTTAACTGTTACTGAAAAGGTTATTGGGAAGAGGAATAAGTCTGGAAAGCTTTGATCTCTTTAGAAGTCCACAGAGGTGGAAAGTAAATAGTTAATTTCTAGTGGATAAAAGTAACATAGTAGCAGCAGTGTGTCCTCCTGTTTTAAAAAAACCCACTATATAGTGTGCCAAGAACTGTGCTTGGTGCTTTATTTAGTTCCTATTTATCATATTAGTCCTGCAAAATTGATGTTATTATTTATTTTTAAAAGATTTTAGTTATTTTTAGAGAGACGGGGAGGGAGGGAAAAACAGAAACATCCATGTGAGAGAGACAGCGATTGGTTGCCTCTCCCACGGGGGGGAAGACCACTGCCTGCATCCCAGGCTGGCACCCCCACGGGAGCCCAAGTGGTGACCCTTGGGTTCTCAGGCCTGCGCTCAGTCCGCTGAGCCACACCAGCCAAGGCTGCGATGTTGATTGTATCATCTCTTTACCAGAGAAGGAACTAATGTTAACCTAGATATTGAGATCTTGCCGTTTTAAGTGGTAGAATTGACATTGGATCCCAAAAGCCATGTTCTTGGCCCTGAACTTGTGGTTTCCGAATCTGAGTGTTTAGAATTCACTGGGGAGAAGTTTTTAGAGATTGCCACATCACCTCTTCATTATTTGTTAGGGCTAGTTGGTTTTTTCACAAGCTCCAGTGTGTTAGACAGTCTCAGTTTTAAGCTGACTTTTCAATTTCTCAATCCTAAGTTCTTCCAATTTTGAAGTTCTGGCGCAGCCAGGACCTCCTCACGTCGGAATAGGTGCCAGCAGGCAGGACTATGCCGAAGTTCTCCAGGCGGTGCTTGTGGCGCAGGTGTGCGCAGGTGTGCGTTGGGAATAGTGCTGTGCTGCGCTGCGGGGTCTTTCAGAGTTGGAATGTGGGGCTTGGTCCATATCATTCTGAGTTTCCACAGTTTATTGCTTGCACCATTCTCATTTTTATTTTTCTCCCATAGCTGCCTCTTATCAAATTGTTAGAACTACTTTCTTACAGAAAGCAGGCTTAGCTATCCTAAGACTAAAAGCTCAGGACATTTTTAAAAGCCTGTCTTAATCTACTGAGAAAAATAACATAGTTTTTTAGGTCTAGATGGGCCATCTAGCTTAGTCAAGGCAGTTATGTAACAAAAATAGAATTGAATCCAGGGTTGATAAATTAGGAATAGGGTAGAAAAAAATCTTGAAATAAAAGCTTAGAGATAAATCCTTGGGAAAAGGGGTTTTTTTCCCCCTGAATCTAATCTTTTGGGTTTTGGGAACTAGGATGGGGAAATTATTCTAAACATGAAACCTGATAACAATATGCGTACAGACACAAGGTCAGGAAGAAATGCCGGCACCAGTGATGATGAATAGCCAATCTGATCAAAATGAGAACCCAGTCAGTGGTGAAATCATTAACTTCTCTGGAGCAAGGACCGCATACTTATTTTGTGCTTTCCTTTATTCCCAAGTCACTCTTATGCTTAGTAATTGCCAGAGGAAATGGTTGAAAACTTTTGGCTTTTTGATGACAAAATTATATGTCCACATTTTAAAAATTTTTAAGGAGCAACTGTTGAATACCCATGTCCAGTCTGTGTCCAGTCTAGATCAGTGGGTGGGTGGAGTTCTAATTTTGAACTGCCTTTGTGGCTCTTCTCCCTTTGTTTTTCATGGTAAGTGCCAAAGTAATTATATTCTTTGACAAAATTCCACTAAGGCTTGAAATGAAGAGAAATCTAAAATAAACCCATCTATTAAATTAAAAAAGACTCGTGGACATGGACACCAGGGTGGTGATTGCTGAGGGGAGGGGGGTATAAGGGGACTAAATGGTAATGGGAAAAAGATGATAAAGATTATATATTTAAATAAATAAAATGAACCTGCTTAGAGGGAAAGAGTAGCTGCCTTATTTTAAAGTACCCTGTAGTGGAATCAAGACAGATAAGATCTCTGTCCTCGTGGAACTTACAGTCTAGTGGGGAAAACAGGAAATAAGTAAACAAGTAACCAAGGTAATTACAGATTAAGAAAAATTATTAGAAGTGACTAAGCTGGTAGATCTAAGAGTGTGTTGTGGCAAATGACTGGCTAGTAAAAGTCAAGGGGAGTCACCTCCCCTATGAAGAGGTGACTTTCGAGTTGGACTAGAAGCATGAGCTTGTGCTAGCCATGTGAAAAGCTGGGGAGCCGTTCCTGGCCTGGGAACAAGTGCGAAGACCAGAAAGGCTGGGAAGGGCATGGGTGTTAGAAGCAGGAGGACAAAGGACTGAGATGGAGTTGGATAGATCCTACAGGGTCTCTTGCTATTAGGCAGTATCCGGTTTGGGGATGTTCTATCAGTGAGAATGAGAACCTTTTGAAGGGTTTTAATTAGGGCAGTGGTATGTTTTTGTTTTGTTTTTAAGAGATAATAGCTTTAAAAAAATCAGAGGAAGCAGAGGCCAGTTAGAAGACTACTGCGATAGTCAGCTCAAGATTGATGGTATCTTAGGCAAGTACAGTGGCAGTGGGGATGGAGCAGAGTAGATGGTGGGTTTCAGTTATATTTTGGAGGTGGAATTAGGAGTATTTGGCTAATGGGTTGGCTGTGGAAGGAGGAAGGAATCAAGGATGGCTTCAAGATTCTGGCCTAAACCTTCGGGGTTGATGGTGCCATTTGCTGGT